GTTAAGTGCAGATAAGTTATGGTTATTGACCAGTTAAGTGCAGATAAGTTATGGTTATTAACCAGTTAACTGCAGATAAGTTATGATTAACTAGTTAACTGCAGATAAGTCATGGTTATTAAAAAGTTAACTGCAGATAAGTTATGGTTATTGACCAGTTAACTGCAGATAAGTTATGGTTATTAAATAGTTAACTGCAGATAAGTTATGGTTATTGACCAGTTAACTGCAGATAAGTTATGGTTATTAAATAGTTAACTGCAGATAAGTTATGGTTATTAACCAGTTAAGTGCAGATAAGTTATGGTTATTAACCAGTTAGCTGCAGATAAGGTAATATTGATTGATGACCATCTATTGGTAATCTCTTCAGCGTTTATTGAATGTACGACTCAGTGGTTTGAGTTCAGTTCTTTGGTTCTCTGTGGAATTTCAGACCAAACGGAGGACAATCTCAGCTGCAGTAGCAGGTGGTAGCTAAAGTACAGCTGAAGTACTTTTACTCAGTACGTGTATACTGGAGGTATTCTGACTTTGTTTCTGTCTAAATCTGGAACAAGAAATAATGAAGACAGAGGAATCAGTTCAACAAAACTTGTCTTTCTTCATGTTAACAAGCTCAAAAACTCAAAAGCTGAAACATTCAGAGTTGAGATGCAGGTTATCTCAGAAACAGGAAGTAGGCGGAGCTTCAACAACTAATTTATCAAACAGCAGTTTATTAAAAGCAGGTAACAGAATGGTGCAGCTTCAGTCACTGAGCTCTCCTGGACAGCAGCATCTCTCGGATGTTGTCCTCAGCTTCTTTGACGCTGCGCTCCAGGTAAACCTTCTTCTGCTGTAAAACACAGGTGACATGACCAGGTAAACAGGTAATACGGTCAGGAGAGACAGGTGAAATGGTCTGAAGAGACGACATCGGCATTACCTCAAGTTCTTTGATCTTGTCATCAACAGTTTTCTGTTTGTCCCTCAGCAGGTTGTTGATTTCCTCTTTTGACTGAAGAATGAACCTAAAGCAGCAGACAGTCAGAACTCAGCCCTCCATCAGGTGGATGTGAGGTTACCTGTGCAGGTGAGCTGACTTACATGCGGCCGACGCCCTCATAGAGTCGTGTGTTATCAGGMATTGTGGCAATCTCTGCGTGTGTTAGCTTAGCGTGTTTCTGAACACGAGTTAGCTGATCGATCTGCAGGTCGGCCAACTTCACCTTCTGCTGGGTGTCAATCATCTTCACCTGCAGTTCAGAGAACGCCTGCAGAGACAAGAGGTATTACTCTGACCCATTACTGGTCTTCACAAGGTAGGTGTGTAGACCAGAAACGGTCCTAAACAGGTAACTAAAACAAGTACAGCCCTCCCCAGTAATGCAGGTGAAAAAACTGTGTTGATTGGTGGAACAAAGTTCTGCTAAATGCTGATTGGCTCTACTACAAAACTGATCACAAAAACTCTTCCTGGAATTCAAGAGTGGTCAAATGTTTTTAATACACACAGRCATTCATAGTGTTGCCCCCAGAGGACAGGTGTTCATCTACCTGTCCACTTCTATACAACAGCTGCAGAGGGTCCAGACCACAGGACCCTGTGATATACAGTAGAAGCTCCGAGGTTAACCCTAACCTCTGGGGCTAATCCTAACCTACGGGGCTAACACTAAACTACAAGGCTAACCCTAACCTCTGGGGCTAATCCTAACCTACGGGGCTAACACTAACCTACGAGGCTAACCCTAACCTCTGGGGCTAATCCTAACCTACGGGGCTAACACTAAACTACGAGGCTAACCCTAACCTCTGGGGCTAATCCTAACCTCTGGGGCTAATCCTAACCTACAGGGCTAACACTAACCTACGAGGCTAACCCTAACCTCTGGGGCTAATCCTAACCTCTGGGGCTAATCCTAACCTACAGGGCTAACACTAACCTACGAGGCTAACCCTAACCTCTGGGGCTAATCCTAACCTCTGGGGCTAATCCTAACCTACAGGGCTAACACTAACCTACGAGGCTAACCCTAACCTCTGGGGCTAATCCTAACCTCTGGGGCTAATCCTAACCTACAGGGCTAACACTAACCTACGAGGCTAACCCTAACCTCTGGGGCTAATCCTAACCTCTGGGGCTAATCCTAACCTACAGGGCTAACACTAACCTACGAGGCTAACCCTAACCTCTGGGGCTAATCCTAACCTCTGGGGCTAATCCTAACCTACAGGGCTAACACTAACCTACGAGGCTAACCCTAACCTCTGGGGCTAATCCTAACCTCTGGGGCTAATCCTAACCTACAGGGCTAACACTAACCTACGAGGCTAACCCTAACCTCTGGGGCTAATCCTAACCTCTGGGGCTAATCCTAACCTACAGGGCTAACACTAACCTACGAGGCTAACCCTAACCTCTGGGGCTAATCCTAACCTCTGGGGCTAATCCTA